GTTAACACAGACTCACAGTGGTCTTCATTGGATCCAAACTTCTCCCACCAAGACATTCACTTCCTTTGTCAGAAAGTTTAAAATACAATAACAGATGATTTTGAATTATGAATTTGTATTTTAATAGGAAAGATTTAAAAGTGAAATTACGGGATGAGCATGTTCCTGAGAATAACACTGGTGAAATGGAGACTATTTATTGAAATAATAACTGAAAAATCAGAGAGCGTTGAGAAATTGCAACAGATGTTAGCACAATCAAAAATTTACAATATAATGACTGGCTGGACAGACAAACCAGAGCTGTGATTGCAGAATTATGTGTTCAACCTTTCAGTAAACACTTGGGCACTGGAACATATTTCTGAAAAGTTGAGGCATCAGGATACAGGGCAACGTTCAAGACAACTGATACATCTCTTTGCACTCCACTGAACCAGCTGCTCAGCAGTTTCAATTGATCTGTTGTTATTNTTTCCAAGAAGCTATCCTTCAGTCTTATCCATAGTCAGCTCTTTAAATTTCATGCATTCAGTAATGATCGCAAAAAATTGTAGTAAAAATTTGCATTAACAACCAGAATCTGGAACTAACTCACCGGCAGAATGTAGCTCACTAATGTTTTAACGCCTTTTAACCAGCCACCCTTGCGGTTTTGGGCACCCGTTTTTTGCATGTTTATAAACAGTCATTTGGTGTAACAGCTCAAATAGAAATGGACCTTTATGGATTAGAGACTAATAAATGCTTACCCCTATAATTAATACAAGCTTTCCACCATACTTTCCACCAGGCAATCTGTATGCAAATAGTTATTTAACACGTCAAATATAAATCCCTTCTAAACTAAATGTTTGTTCTCTCTACATTTAATCAACAGAGCTGTTTTGTTTGTTTGTAGGCACCATTATGCTATGATTATGTCTGCCACTCACAAAAAATTCACCGGTAATCTGCAAAGATGTGACTAGACTCTCACAGCCAAACGGGTGAAAGGATTGGAAATGGTGTGTGACACCATTTTAACAGCCATGTGGACAGTTGTTCAAGGAGCACTGCAATCCATATATATCATCTCTCCATGAGGTATAATGAATTTTTGTCCCCTTTTAAAAACTTTGGTTAATAGTTGCACAATAGTGTGTATATAATTTTGTGGTCTGTTTAAAAAAATGGCTATTGTAATTCCAGTTTTCTGTGAAAAAAAAGAAAGACAATAAAAACAATATGAATAAAAATTCACTTGTTACTCCAATAGAAAAAGCTACAGGAGTATGATGCTTCAA